ACACAGAACAATGGTAGTAAGTTTTTGTGTTCAAACACCAGGCAGATCACTTCAGATTTCACCCTAGGGGAGCAATTTTCCTCATTTAACAGCCATTTTCGCCTCACAGATAGATATTTCAATTTATCAGTTAATGAATTTTTCCCCCATATCATTTACTCTTCATCCTTCTCATACATACCTACCAGGGCAATAAGTACACCACAATGGGGACAAGAACGAGCATTTCTCAGAAGGGTGGGGCCAGAGTTCCAATTTGTCTTTATGGTCTTTGAGGATGGTTTTGTTGGTTTTTAAATCACCACACAGATTCCTTGACAGGCCACCTACAGACACTCATTCTACATGTTATGATTATTATTTGAGGATATATAACATGGAAGCATCACCGATCATTCTGTCAATTCAACACTGACTCGAAGTTAATTACATCTACTTGTGAAACCATTTATCAAATGTCCCTCACAGTATCAAAGAGAAGCATTCTAGCCTCTAAAACCACGTCCGATTGATGTAAATCCCACCTTCTTATTAACTTCCATTATAAAACTAGAGACATGTAACCAAAACAGAGGTCCCAAACAGGCTCAGTTAAAAACCACGGATGAAGAAAAAGAGGAGGGCAGTAGCTGGCTCTGTGGTAGCTCACTTGTTTCCTCATCATTTGAAGATTAGGTGGCTATTACCACCGGTCACGTCCCTCGTCTTCATGACCACAGGGGTGTCTCTCGTTACTGAAGTTACTCACCTCTATGCTTTGGGACCTCTAGACTTAGCCCTCTTCCGGCTTTGATCTGGGCATTTGCGCCCCTTTAATTAGGAATTCGATTGCAGTAACACGCTTCACCAGTGGGGGTCAACTCTCCAACTGCCCTTCTACCAGAAAAGCCCTATGTTAGAGGCTTCTGCTTATATAAAACATACTCGTTACTGATCTTTGACTTAAAAGTTCTCTATTAAAATTCGGTAATCATCTCCTGTTTCCCCCTGTGGCATAAACATATGCAGCTCTTTGCAGTTCAGGTTAAATTTAGATACTTATGGTGAATACGAGATTTCATTCTTGGAAGAAAAGGGATACCTATTTGACAGTGGGAAATTTCCCCAAGTGAAATGTATGCTTTCATAATATAGACTGACCCCCTTGTAAAGGAAATTTGCAATACAAGTAATTAACTTATATATAAAGATAAACCATAAACAAAGGCTTTCCCACAATCCTTTTTAATAATGACTGTATATTCGATATGGCCTCGATTACATGAATATGCACATTTATTGATACAAAGACACAGAAAAATAATTTAAAGAAATATTCCAAAATGTTAACAGTAGTTATCTCAGAATGGCGTAATTACAAATGGCTTGCCTTTCTTTATAATTTTGGAATTTCCAAAGTTTTCTTGTTCAATAAATTAGAATCACTGTACTATTATGGACAATAGGTTTAAATGTGTATGTGCATAGGCATATATGCCTTTTTATTCTGGTAAAATACACATAATATGAAATTTACCATTTTCACCCTTCTTAAGTGTACAATTCAGTGGCACCAAGTACATTAACAATGTTGTACAGCATCCAGTTCCATAACTTTTTCATCGCCCTGAATGGAAACCCTGTACCCATTAAACGCAGTCAGCCCCTCCCCCAACCCGTGGCCACCACTAATGTGCTCTCTCTATGGAGGTGACCATTCAGGGTATTTCATACAAAAGGAACCACACAGCATGCGGCCCTTTGTGCTTAGCTTCTTTCCCTTAACATAACGTATCTAAGGTTCCTCCATGTGTCACTACTTTATTTCTTTTTCTGGCCGAATAATATTCCATTGGATGGATATACTGCATTTCGTTTATCCATTCATATGTTGATATACATTTGTCTTGTGTCAGTACCTTTTGGCTATTATGAATAGTGCTGCTATAAACATCTGTGTACAAGTTTTTGTTTCAACGTCTGTTTTCATTTTTGGGGGGAGGGTATATACCTAGGAGTGCAAATGGCTTGACACATACTTTTTAAAAAATGCTTTTAATTCTACTTTGGTATTCTGTATTTCAAGTAACCAGTGTCTTTCCAGAATTATTAAGGATAACCCTTATGACAGCATCCCCATAATAATACCATACCATTTTTAATCACTGACTATGGTATATTTTTTTAAGCCCAAATCACATTCTTGTACTTAAAAAAATATATAATTTTCACCTTTACTCTTTGGGAACAAATTTCTCTTATGCTAAATACTTCAAGCTATGATGAACTAACTAAAAAAGACAGTCTATTCCTCTAGGCATAGCCATTCTGACAGTCCCTAATTCACTTTCAAATACCTGCATGTTACAAGTACAAATATACATGTATTTTTGTTGTTATTAGTTTAACCAGAAGGTTATCAGTAAATAGATGTCAATATTTAAGCCTTAAGGAATGCATTAAATATACAATATACAGGGGCGCCTGGGTGGCTCAGTCGGTTAAGCGTCCAACTTCGGCTCCGGTCATGCTCTCATGGCTCCTGGGTTCAAGCCCCATGTCGGGCTCTGTGCTGACAGCTCATAGCCTGGAGCCTGCTTCCCATTCTGTGTCTCCCTCTCTCTCTCTCTGCTCCTCTCCCACTCACACATTGTCTCTCAAAAATGAATAAACGTTAAAACAATTTAAAATAAAACAAATATACAATATACAACGTATGAAGGTTAACTTTAGCTGTAGACCATACTTGACATGGGCTAAAGAAGAGGGTGGTGCACTGTGCACCTGCCCGTAGTGATTTAACTACTATTGGATTCTCCCATTTTTCCTTCCCTCCAAAAGACATGCATGCATATTTATGCAATATACATTCATGCCATACACATGCACAATTGCGCATGTGCAAACCCCCACACACCACAACCAAACTCAGTGATAGCAAATAAGAGTAGGACTGGTTTTGTAGCTCAGTCATCCCTTAGATTTCAGGCTTGTCCCCCGTTATCGCTTCTACCCCTACCCCTACACAGATGGCACTCTGCAATTCAGAAAGCAGAAATAAAATTCTAGCTAGAGAAGAGGAAGGAGTAGCCTTCAAACATTCAAAGAACCACCCAAATTTTAATATTTGTTAATAAGTGAGGGATATAATTTGGGATCATTTAAAACTAAAACACTGGGGAATGCTCCCGTGATACTGGTAGACTTCTCTTTAAGAAAAATTCAAATAGGAATGATGAACTTCTAGAAAACAATCAATTAGGACATTTTAATGCTATGAAAGGTTTTACACCATCCAACTTGGCTCCGATCAACAGTAGCAACTGATTTTATTTTTTCCTTTACAAAAAAAAAAAAAAATCCCCAAATGCTTTCATATTCTGATAATACTCCAAAAAAACCCCATGTACTACAAAACTCAAAAGGAACTCTTTTGTCTACTCTCTGCAGAATGTCTTTTTAACAGCTCAGGTATAACAACAATAATTTATACCATAGAGATTTTTTCCAATGAAGACTAGGAACTTTATAAATGTCACATTCTATAGGTGGAAAACTGAATGGCAGTGGAATAAGTTGTCCCAAGTCTCACAAGGAATCAGGGCAAAGCCAAAAATAAAATTCAGGTCCCATCAATTATCAAGACAGTGATCTGTCCACAAGGAAAAGTATCTCAGTTACCATGGCAGGTAGCCATTCTAAAAAGGCAGAAAAATTAAAACGTGTTCTACCGTAAAGATACAGTCCCGTCGGGGCGCCTGGGTGGCTCCATCGGTTAAGCGTCCGACTTCGGCTCAGGTCATGATCTCACGGTCTAGGAGTTCGAGCCCTGCGTCGGGCTCTGTGCTGACAGTTCAGAGCCTGGAGACCGTTTCAGATTCTGTGTCTCCCTCTCTCTCTGCCCCTCCCCTGTTCATGCTCTGTCTCTCTCCGTCTCAAAAATAAATAAACGTTAAAAAAAAAATTAAAAAAAAAAAAAAAGATACAGTCCCGTCATTCATGAGTGTTTATGTGAGAGGATGCTACGTGTATCACTGCAGTCCCATTGTTTCACTCTTGGAGTACTTATTTCTTTACGCTTTGTGCATACTTCTTTTTCTCTGCTTGTAGACTATAAGACACTTTATGGTGGGGACCAAATCTGAGGACTTTTGTGTATGTAGCACAGTGCCTTGAATGTAGTATGCATTCAGTAATGTGTGCACATTTGCGTGTGAAATTTCATGGAAATATGGTCAACTATCTCCTCCCAACCACCAAAACAAATCGTAGTGAGAACCTCCAAACTTCCTTAAAAAGCCAACCCCACATACTACACAATAAAAAATATGATCGATGTAGGCTATTTCGATAACGACAATGCTCAAGAGATACCCGAGATGTGACCTTAATATTATTTGTCGGCGTGTTTAAGTGCATAAATTAAGGTAGCCCAGAATGAATTGACATGATTTAAGTGTACTTATCCAACACCCTGTGTGTATCCACATGCTGATTTCCCCAACTGCTGTATTATCCTGTCTTGCTCCTTGCTTCTGAGATATATCCTCTGACCACCTAGCTGCTTGGAGGCCGTTATGACCAAAATACATCAGAATGGAAATAAGAGGAGAAATAAATTCTAATCAGTCCTTCTTACTACTTATTAACAGCTTTTGTGAGGTGCTGTAGTACAGTAACAGGATAGAAACAAACAGCAACTTCAGTTTGGGGATTAAAACAACACATGCCTTAAAAAAAAACAAAAAACATGCCCCTCCCCCGTTCATGCTCTGTCTCTCTCTGTCGCAAAAATAAAATAAACGTTGAAAAAAAAAATTAAAAAACAAAACAAAACAAAAAAAAAACAGCAACTCCTTCACTGATATCTCATTGATCAGATGTGAGGTTTATTTATCCATGTGACTCTCCACCTCCACCCCACTAGAGAATGGGCTGAAAGAGTTGTTTTCTGGGCCTAATTTTTAACATTTACTCAGGAATTACCTTCATTTTTCTTTAAGAAATTTCTATAGTCTTACCTCCCAGTCCAAATAATCACAGACATCTTCAAAGTTAGTGAGCAGAGACACTGAGCAGAACAGCCGTGGTAACTCATCCCTTGTCATTGGGGGAAAACGGCTATCTTTAAGGGCACTGTTGAAAACAAAGCAAATATTAAAGCAACCACTAGATATGAAAGACTCCTACTTTCAAATGCAATCATTTGAAAAAGGTTAAGAGACACACAAAAAAATCAGTAAGGTGCCAAAGATGCCAATGATCTTCAAATGTGTTCAAAGATTTTATAAGTCATTTTTTTTTCATTCAATAGACTGTTTATCAGCCAATCCTGTGACCAATTGCAAAGAGTGAATGGTCAATTACATTTACTGTACAGTCATTTCCTGGTGCACTTCCTGTTACTTGTAGAATCTGAGAATATTTTAGTTTACTTTTGAGAAGAATAAAAACCAGACCAGTAGAAATTTTGGGGAAGACTTCTAGATCTAGGGCTGGTGGAAAAAAATATATATAGTTAAAAAAAAGTTCACACTAGGTTGGCCAGTTACCATAGAACAGCACTCAGAGTTCAAAAACGATCAAAATTTCATTTTCTTCAAGCAAAAGAAATCAAAGAAAATTAAAATAATCATGCAAATTACTGGCTAAAAATACAGGGCTTTCAGGCCCCCTATAAAGGGTAATTCAAGATATGACTCAAAAATTGTGAAACTGCAGGAAATTGGGCTAATCTAGGAAATAAAAGTATGATTAGGAGACCATTAATCACATCAATGGGTTTCTGAGTACATCAACTCTGATTGGATCCTGTAATCAAGGGTAATATACTACAGTGCCAAATTCTAGAAAAACCCCTACTGTAAAGGACAAAGATGTTGGAAGACCATAATTCTCCCTGCAACAGAAGAAAAGACAGAAAATACACAAGACATGCGTACACACACGGAGACGCTGTATGTTTCTTATACTTTTAAAAGAAACTACCTCCTGGTCAAGAAAAACAAACACACCTCTGATTATACTTTATGTTAGTGGCACTGCTGGCATTTGTGCCATCGATCTTCCAGTCTTCAAATCCAAATGTCCTATATAGCAGCCAGACTCAGAAAATGTTCTCACAGATTAATCCCTGGAAGTTCAAACTTAGAGCCTACAAACTGCATGGGGGTTATAAAAAAGTTACATGGCCCTTAGAAATCACTTAATACCTTTTTCAGGGACTTCCTCATTGCTGGATTTTTTTTTTTCATTTTTCCATCCCTTCCTTTGCATTCTGAAACTTGTTTATTGTATTGTTAAAATATAACCCCTATGTTTGTATTGTTTTAATGTCTATTTATTTTGAGAAAGAGAGAGAGAGAGAGAGAGAGAGAGAGAGAGGAGCAGGGGAGGTGTAGAGAGAGAGGGAGAGAGAGAATCCCAAGCAGGCTCCACACTGTCAGCATGGAGTCCAGTGCAGGGCTCGAACCCATGAACCGTGAGATCATGACCTGAGCCGAAACCAAGAGTCAGCAGTTCAATGAACTGAGCCCCCTCTGGAGCCCCTCATTGCATTTTGGTGATGGTTCTATCCTACTATTCAAAGGAAAATGCTTATAGAAAGATATGTACTATATAAAGTATAAAGGTGTTTTCCCATTCAAGGAGCCAAGATTAGCCAAGAAATTCAGGAAATCTGTGATAATTTATACTCTGAGAACAGCATTTCACTATTTTATAATTTAACAACGTAACTTTTCCAGAGTTTGGCCTCTTTTATTTTCCTGTTGGCAGATAAAATTAAAAATATTTTTTTCAGGCTCTCATCCAAAGCCAAGATAAAGACATGTATATGCGTGTATAACCAACACCCTTGCCCCTAACAAACACACATACTGAACAGAAGTTCTAAAACATAGAAGAATCTCACACATTACAACAAAAAGGCTGTTTTAACTCTTTTTAAGCATGTAGTTCTGTGTGATTAAGTACGTTCACAGTGTTGTACGACCATCACTACCATCTATCTCTAGAACTTTTATCATCTTGCCAACTTAAACACAGTATTCATTCAATATGAACTCCCCACTCCTCCTTCCTTCCAGCCCTTAGCAAAAGTGTAATTTAAATATACTTTCATAATTTCAAATAATTATAATAATAGGGTCATTAATGTTTTTATATATATAACTATTTATGGAGATATAATTCACATACTGTAAAATTCACCCATTAATGTATACAATTTAATGGGTTTTACTTTATTCACAGAGTTATACAACCATCGCCACTATCCAATTTTAAAACATTTTGTCACACGAAAAGAAGCCTCATACCTGTTAGCAGTCAGTCTCCATTCTTCCCTGCCCCCAGCTCCTGGCAAGCATTAATCTACTTTCTGTCTATGGATTTGCCCATTCTGGAGTTGTCATGTAAGTGGAATCGTACAATGTGGGGCTTTTTGTGGCTGTTTTTTTAGCATAATATTTTGGACATTTCATCCAAGCTGTAGAGCTTGTATCAGTACTTCATCTTTAATTGCCTAATAATATTCAATTGTGTGGCCATATCACATTTTGTGATCCATTTCTCTGGTGAGAAGCATTTGGGCTGTTTCCACTTTTTGGCTACTATGAATAATGCTGCTGTAAACACGCATGTATGAGTTTCTGTGTGGACATATGTTTGCATTTCTCTTGGGGAGAGACGTAAGAGTGGAATTGCTGGGTCATATGGTAATTCTATGTTTAATTCTTTTTAATGATTATTTATTTTTGAGAGAGAGGGTGCATGTGCACAAGCAGGGGAGGGGCAGAGAGAGAGAGAGAGAGAGAGAGAGAGACATGGAGACACAGAAT